GGTCCACCACTGTACGTTTCAAGAGGAGTTTGCTTCCGCGTACAACCTCTCTGTGGAATAGTTTACCACCAGCGATTTTTCCGGACCGATACGACCTGGGGACCTTCAAGAAAAGAGCGTACTCCTTTCTAAAGGGCCGGCAACGCACCTGCAATTCCCCTGGTGTGGCGGTTGATCATGGGCGGCGGTAGTCACTTAACATCAGGTGAGCCGCATGCTCGTTTGCCATCTTCTATAAAAAAAAGGGCAGCAGAATCTTCCTGATAATAAAAAAATGTTTCAAGTTGCCAGCCCTCGGCCGCAGTGTTAGATCGCTTGGGGGAACGCAGGCGGGCCTACGTTTAGTTTTTGACAGACAATAAAAATGATGACTTGGTAGATCCATACAGAAGCACAATATGCAATACGCATATGCCGAATCAACTGGGAAAGATCCACGCTTGCACAGAATACTAGTGTAAAATAGCAACAGAGTGATGCTATTTTATGTTGTGTGTCTAGCTTCAGTTAGATGAGCCTGCAGGTCTAACATACGCATCTGCATTTTAATTCTTAATCGAGGTTAGATGTCTATAGGTCACATCATATTTCTTGCATCGTCAAATTTAATCTCGAAGCTTAAAAGTTCTATAAGGGAGGGATATTACCAGAGTAAATAACAAGCTATGAAGAATTATTTATTTTTCATTGTATTTATATAATATTCTCATCTGATTGGGCTGTATATATATATATATTGAATTTTTTGTTTGTTGCATAGTAGTGAGTCGGATTAGAGTGGATGAAGGTTATGGGATGAGAAACTGATGAATATAAATAAATATATATTATATTATACATATTACAATAAATAAATAAATTGTACCTAACTCAACCAGATAGAATGGAAGCCCTCTTAACCCTTTAATCCCCATAAAATTCTCGCGCAGTCACATGCGCATGGCAAATCCCGGGCGGTCGCATGCGATCGCACACACCCATAGCACTTAAAACCATTAATACTTATGTTTAAAGACTACTTTTCTATGAAAAAGTATAGCATTATAAATTCTATACAAAATTCTCTATCCTGTGGTCTAAACAAAATTCAGTTTTTGTATTTTGATAACAAAAAAAAAACATACCAAGCGGATATCGGCAGCGTGAAAATCACAATTATTTCAACATATTACTCGAAATTATTTACGTAAAAAGATAAATTATATTCACAGAAAAACTTTTATAACAATTTTATAATAAAACACTATAGTAAAACACTAATAAAACACTAGAAAAATCCAAAAATCAACACAACAACATCCAAATGAAAATGGCGTACGTATTGAACGTAGAATATAAATTAATATTCATAGACTAACTGTTTTTTTATTCCACTAGAGGATTTAAGTAGTTTCAACATTTAAGAATTTATGGGTTAAAATGCTGTGGGTGGGTGCGGTCAAATTAGACCTCTTGAATTTTGACGGAATATCGGAGCGGTTAAAGCTTGGCTTGGAGGCGCCCAGATTGTAAACGGATGGAAAGACAGATGCCGGCAGATTATATCACACCTTTGTCGTAAGCACTACGAAAGATGAAGCATATCGTTTGGTTCGAATGCGTGGAATATCATAGGATATAGGACCAAGAGAGAAAGAGAATAGGGAGTGCACCTGGGCTTGTGCACAAGCCTAATATTGTACTGCAAGAGCTAACTTTCGTTGAAACTAGCCACCGTGGCCGATATTCGCTCTGGAGTATTATTGTATAATGCAGATTTCCAAAGATCGGCTCATTTATCTAAAGTTGCTGTAAATGCTTAGATAGAGTACTAAACCGCGGCTTCTTTCTATGAAGCCGCGGTTTAGAACTCTAAGCAAAGCTTATGTGATTTAGACTAGACTAGATATTTTCTAATCTGGTGTTTATATAGTGTTCTAATTTGGTTGGGATACATTAGTACTTACTATAAATATATACTATTAACATAAATAAAATGGATAAGGTATATACTTAATAGAACATATACCTAAAATATAGTTAAATAAAAAGATAAAGTTTTGGGTGCTGCCACGCAGCTTGTGAGTTAGAGTGTTGCGCACTTTACGCCATCAGGCCAGGTGTCGGGCATGCTCACTCGTCCCCGGTGGCTCCCTCGCTGGGCGGTGAGTGTAAGAGTTCACGTGGGAGTGGCCGCCCATCAGGTGGGCGCGCATGTAGGGTTGTCAGGTTATGCAGGTGGGCGTGTGGCCCGTTGTCTGCGCGGTCGAACAACCGTCTCGCAGTACGGGCCACAAATTTGTGTATAGACTCGATTTTGAGGTCCTTGGCTATGAGGTCATTCCTCACATAGCGACCTGCTCCCACAATCGCCCTGAGCGCTAGATTCTGCTGTGCGCTGTGTGGTTGATGTCGGCGCGTACCAGGCTGGCGCTGCGAAAGTCAACCGTGAGCGGACGTAGGTCTTATAAACAGATGTTTTTGTTTTAAGCGGGAGTTTGGATGCCAGTATTGGGTATAATTTCGCTAGTGCGACTCTGGCCTGGAACACAACGTGGTCGACCATAGGGGTCATTCGCAACGAGCGATCAATCTGGCATCCTAAGTAGGTGACAGTACCTTTCCACCCTACGTCCTGTCCACGGAGTCGCAAGGATGGTAGGGTGCGTCTCAGCCTGGTCGTGAAGGCGGCGGTGTTCCCGACATTGACCGCCATCCTCCATCTGTCCAGCCAATCTGGCAGCAAGTCTAGTAGTCTCTGCAGCTTCTTTGCCGCGAGTTCTACCCGACGAGATGACGTGAAGTACACACTGTCGTCTGCGTATAACGCGAGCACAACATCGTCCTCCCACTCCTCCAGGTGACCTTGGAGTGTGGGAATGTCGTTGGTGTACACCGCTCACAGGTGGGGTGATAGGCAGCTGCCCTGCGGCACTCCCGCTTCAATCGGTCGTGCTACCGAGACAGTCTCCTCGATGTTAACATAGAAGCTCCGCCCCTCCAGGAATGACGCTATAAGCCGCACAAGCATTGGCGGCAAGTTGGTGGTCTCTATTAACTTGTGAAGTAGTCCTGCGTGCCACACTCTGTCGAAGGCCTTCTCCATATCTAAAAAGACACACAGATGCGGCCGCGGATGTGCTCGGCCGCAAGATAGTGCAGCATGCGGGCTAGTTGGGCTGTGGTGGAGTGTGCTCTGCGGAAGCCAAATTGTTCCTCCCGCAGAGCAACGTGCGGTAAAATGCGATGGAGGGTAATTTTTTCAAAGAGTTTGGCTATATGCGGTAATAGCGTTATGGGGCGGTAGCTAGCCGGGTACCTCCTATCCTTACCCGGCTTTGGTAGCCGGTATCTTGCCCTGTTTCCAGTTTGTTGGGAAGTGGCCAGTTCTTAACATACTATTGAAAAGTCTGGCCACCTCCACAACTCCCCTTCTGGGCAGCTGCTTCAAGGCTATATGGTTGTAATGCCGACGCAACCCGGTGCTTTGCGGTTAGGTAAGCGCATGATGGCGCGCCTTACCTCCGCAGGCGAGATGAAGTCTTCGCCTCGCAATGGTGGCGCCGGGTGCGACAGGTATTCCCGTACGCGGGTCTCCACCCCCGTGGTGTGCTCCGCGTACCCCTCTGCAATGGAATTAGGTGTAAACTGTGATTGAAGGTGCTGTGCCATAGTTTCCGCCCTCTGCTGGGCGTCGTAAATTCTTTTCCCCGTGTTGTCCACTTGTGGGCAAACAGGACGTGGTGTTTTGATGAGCTGCCGATTGAGGAGGTGCAGGGAGACGGGTGTCTCTGAAGCTTCGTCGATTCGCCTCTCCCATGCCTCTCCCCTGTGCGCTCTAATCGCTACCGACAGCTCTTCTGTTGTTCTATTTAGTTGGGTTTTAATATGTGGGCACCGTGTTTGTGCCCACAGCTTTTTCAGCTTTCTTTTCTTAGAAAGGTGAAGTTGTATTTTATGAGGGAGTTCCCCTCCCCCCGGCACCCCGTGGAGACAGGGTGTGAGGAGAGTTCCAGTTGTTTGTTTAGAGCGGCGTGTAGAAGCAATGCCGCTGTCTCTACGTCTTCTTGGGTGGTAATGGAGGCGCCGAGTCGGAGGTCCTCCAGTGCTTTTCGGAAGCGTGCCCAGCTCGTCCGTATTTTTGGACCTCTGGGCACTACTGCGTCCGCATCGGTGTCTATAGTGAACAACACGGGGAGGTGCTGCGTGTCCAGATTATACAGCACCTCTAGCCGTATCCTGAACGGCATTTGATGACACAACACAATGTCCAGGACATCGGGTTGATGATTGGGATTGGAGGGGATGTGGGTGGGCTCATCTGGACCCAGTACCTCAAATCCCCACTCTTCAGCGTGTTCGAAGAGTTTCTTACCAGGAGGTGTGATTATCGCGGAGCCCCAAGCAGGATGTTTTGCATTGAGGTCTCCAGCGATAATTGCAGGTGTTGTTGCATTGAATATAGTGCTTAGATCCTGGGGGGTTAATGAGGTACTGGGAGGTCGGTAAGCGGCGAAGAATCTCATATCCGTGGTTACCACCCTCATCCTTATACCCTTGGTCCTCATGGACACGAAGTCATATATAGTATCAACTTCCTCGTGCATGATGTCCCTCCTCACAAGGGCCACAGTACCTCTGTACGTGACACGTTCTGGGGAGATCTCGTCGTGGCGATACACGAAGAAGTTGGGGAGCTTCAGTTTTGCAAAGGGGTGCAGTTTAGTTTCTCCCAGCAGTACAACTTGGACTTTGTACTGCTGGACCAACGTGCGCAGTTTGGCGACTTTCCCTGTTATGCCGCCGGGGTTCCAGTAAACTATTTTGATTGCCCTGCCCTCTGCTGATGTTAGTCAGTTAGGGCTGGGCTAAGGCAGTAACGGTTGCCACTAGTGGGTTGGTACCTGTGGTCATAGCAGTTAGGACCTCTCCCAGGATTTTAATGACCATACCCACCAGCTGTGCGAGGGCCTCTTCTATGGTGGATGGTACGTTATGTATTTGTGGTTGGGATCTGGGTTCTACTGTCCGTCTTTGGAGTGGTTCTCGGGGTTGGTGGGTAGTTTGCATTCTCTGGATTTGGGCAGGGAAGGTCGCTTGGCGCGGCTGCTGTGGCCGCTGCTGCGTGGTAGCAATGGGGGAAGAAGTGGGGTAGACGTGCCTACTACTGCTACATCCAGTGTGGCCACCTTCTCCTTCTTCTTCTTCCTTTTCCTCTTTTTCTTTTGACGCTCTGTGCGCTCAATGGGGTCGTTTGCCGGTACTGCCAAGGTTGCCCCAGTGACGGCGACCGTTGGCGCAGATGCGGGTGTGGGTAGCTGTTGTTGCCGCTGCTGTTGCGGCTGCTGCGGCTGCTGCGTCCGCTGCGGCTGGGTGTGCATTTGCGGTTGTGGTTGCAAATTTTGGTGCTGTGGTTGTGGTTGAGGGGCCCGTGCTGCTTGCGTGGGTATTGGGGGCTGTAGGACTATGCCCCTCTTACACGTAATACGCTGCAGCACAGGGCACCGCCTGTCGTTTGCCGCGTGAGCCTTAGCGCAATTTGCACATTTCGGCTGTTCGTCATGCGGCTTGGGGCATTCAGATGCTGCATGATCGCCTGCGCAGCGGACGCATTTTATAGGTCTAAAGCAATTATAAGACGCATGCCCGAACCCCTGGTATCTATGACATTGGGGAGGGCCGGCTCTACCTTGTCAGCCCTCTATTGAGATGCCGGGTGTGTTCAGCATTCAGTTCATCTATTGCATATAGCCTTTTTAATTCTTCAGGAGGGAGGTGATTCATTTTTAAGTGAAAGAGGCAGCCTGGTCTGCCTGTTTTGAGGGGAATTGAGCGCACGAACGTCACCGGGAAACCTATCTCGATGAGGGCCTCCTTAATGGCTTGTGGCTCGGTATCGGCTGGGAGCCCTCTGAGCCCTACCTTCGTTGGCTGTTCATCCTGTGGAGCGTAGCAATACGCACGCAAAGGTGGCATTCTCTTTGCTACGCTGAATGAGGTATTTTTGGGTGGTACGGTATTCCTTATCCGATTATGGCCGGAACCTGACTCCCTTCCCAAATGGGCGGGCATTCGGAGCATGGCCGAGAAGTTGATGTAGGATTTTAAAATGCTTCGCCCAATTTGGGAAGCATTCTACTATTATTGGTGGGTATTTTACTTGTGTTGCTACAGGCTGCTGTGGCCTTGTAGTTGGTGGAGGTGTGGGCGAAGGTGGGGCTGTTCTAAGCGCGGTAGCTATCCCTACATAGCTGTCCGGCGCCGAGGATGGTCCAGGAGTGGGTTCAAATGCCATTTCTTCTTGCACTGGGGCGAGGGTGGCGTAAGATGTGCTATCAGAGGGTTTCTCCCCTTCTGGGTGCTGCTCCCCGAAGTCCTGCATCTCAGATTGCATGCAAGTCGGTGAGGTAGTGGGAGATGGTGACTCAGGTGGCGAGTTATGCCTCGTCACCGGCTGTTTCCGCGGTGGAGTGGGTGTGACTTTCGAGGTGGAGGCAGAGGTTGAAGCTGATGCCGACTTGGATACCGATTCCGAGCCGGCCTTCAGTCTTTTCTCCTCCTGCAGATCTTCTTCTTCCAGTTCTGGGGGAGTACGTCCTCGCGAGGCGATGTTCCGGCGTGGTAGTGGTGCTGGTTCGGCGATGGGTGGGCTCTCTTTACGCCTCGCGATTTGGCTGTATGCGGGCAGTACTCGTGACTTCTCTGGAGCTAAGAGGTCACGCTCCATGAGAGGCCTATCTAGCACGCCCGGTCGCCTATCTGGTGGTTTACGGCGAGTCGGGGGTAGTTACCCTTTGTCCGACATAACGTAGGTAGTTATATATCACTTCGGTATAAAATAGGGTAGTTATAAAAAGATTTTAAAAACAAAAAAGAGGGTAGGTTTAAAAACTTAAAATTTTTAATAAGTGGGTAGGAGTTAAAACTTTGCCCTTGCTAGCTACCACACACTTTACTCCCCTCGGTGCGTGCAACCACACCAGGTGAGACCCGTGGAGGAGGCCCAGCGAGGCGCCCGCGAGCGGGGAGGGGTGTGTGAGGCGCAGATGGATTTGGGCGTACTTCACTTTGTTAACACTTTTGACGCTAGCGCGGTCCGAGGCGAACTGTCAGACCGAAGCTCTCAGCATGGGAGGCTAAACTGCCGAGGCTGAACTGGAAAGAGAAAGCATTTATCTTCTTCCACATTAGGGCACGAATCAGTCCGTCATGCGTAGAGTCCTCAAGAGTAGCATATTATTTATTTTTTAAAAAAAAAACGTTACCTAAACGTTGTAAATTATATATATATATATATACCCACATACACACACATATATATATATATATATATATATATATATGTATATATATATTATGTTAAATCCTAATGTTCATATAATAATAAATTATATATAAAATACATAAATTAAAGGACCCGTCTATATATGTGGGACTTATAATTAAAAAAATGTGGTGACTGTGTTGCCTGCCTTGTCGCCGTGGAGTGTCATAAAAGGCGACTAATGGAGTATGGGACGATGTTCTATACGACGACTATATTCCATTAGTCGCCTTTTACGGCCTTACATAATATGCCCAAATTTTTTGGCTAAATATTGTTCGACAAGTTCGCTGCTCTTCGGACAGAAACCTAAATTTCTGTGGTTTAACCTTTTGAGGATTACAGAAGTGTTGCTACTTGCTATGTCATATGAAAGTAGAATTCCAAAGAGCTACTTTCTTATTATACTATAAATATATTGGTAGAGTTTCAAAGCGTGGAATATTTCTATAAATTTTTAAGAAATAGTAAGGAACGATTCCAAGAAGTGCGTTGATTCTCCAAATATATTGTAAATATTAAGATTATGTCCTGAAAAGTAGGTTATTTCGCTAAATGTGCTATAAATATGAAGGTAGAGTTATAAAGAGCAGGCTATTTTTCTGAATATACTATAAGTATAAAAGGTAGAGTTTCAAAGTGTGGGTTTATTCTCTCAATTTACTATAAATTTAAAGGTAAAATTCCAGTAAAGTGGGTTATTTCGCTCTATGTACTGTAAATGTAAATGTAGTCTTACAAAAAGTAGGTTATTTTTCTGAATATATTATAAATAAAAAGTTAGAATTTCAAAGAACGGGTTATTCCTCTGAATGTACTATAAATATAAAGTTAGAGTTCCAAAAAGCGGGTTTATTTTTCGCAATGTACTGTAAATATAAATGTAGAGTTGCAAAGGGTAGGCTATTTTTTAAATGTACTGTAAATATAAAGTTAAGGTTTCAAAGAGCAGTTTATTTCTCTGAATGTACAATTTATATAAATATTGACTCTGTAAATGTGTGTAAAGGTAGAGTTCCAAACAGTGGGTTATTTCAATAAAATCTAATATATATATATATATATATATATATAGTTCGAAAAAGTGGATTATTTCACACAAATGTCTGTAAATATGAGGGTAGAGCTCCAAAGGGTGTGTTATTTTTTTATTTTTTTTTATTTATATAAATGTACTGGTAATATTAAGATAGAGTTCCAAAGAGTGGGTTATTTCTATAAATGTACTGTAAATATATAGATAGAATTTCAAAGAGCGGGTATGTACTGTAAATATAAAAATAGAGCTCTAAAGAGGGGTTATTTCTAAAAATGTACTGTTAATATAAAGAAAGAGTTCCAGAGAGGGTTTTTCTATAAGTGTACTGTGAATATAAAGATAGAGTTCAAAAGAGCAGGTTATTTCCCTGAATGTACTGTAAACATTCAGGTAGAGCCCCAAATAGTGATTTACATTTTTAACTGGATTAGAAATGACAAAATTTTATTTGCGTTCACTCTTTATGAATTCTTAGATAGAGTTCTAAAATCCCAAAAAACAACTTTTTCCCCTGATTGTACTAGAAGATCGAGTTTCAACAGAGATTTTCCTGTTACACTGTAACAAAAATGACTTAAGTACGTTTAACGCCTAACTTCATATTATACCAAAGGTTTGTATAGAATTATAACAATGCTTCTAATATATCTGTTTGGGTACAATTGTAAATAATTTCTATCTGCTTGGTTCAGTGTTCGGTTTTTAATCTAAAAGAATATAGTGTACATATAAGTTGATGGCTTATTTTCTACTCAGGAATCGGTATAGATGGGTTAAATTAATTTAAGAAAAGCATACAAGTTTGAAGTGAAACGTAAGTAGTGAAATTTACAGGCCAATTTACAGGCTGTGAATTGCAGGCAGGCCGTAACGAACACCTACAGTCCACGTACCTATACGCTGTGACCCATATACATCTACATCCATCGTAAATTAAGAATCAATAGATGCGTTTTGACACTTTGAGGTCTAACTCGTTACCAGTAAAAGGGATATTGGGTTCGTTCACTTACTAAAGGCAACGTAGCAGTACTATGCTGCAATTTTACGCTGGTATTATGTGAGAGCGTTATCAAGTTGACTTATTCGGGCTTCGATCACCATAAAGCTGCAAAGAAGCTCGTACAACTATGTAATTGGTTTCTCAGAAACGATTTGTATAAAATTTTGCATCAGTAGGTAATGTTTAACTTTTCAAGTCTATCTAGATAGGCAGAGTCTTTTTTTATAGAATAAGGGTGAAAACGATTACACAGTCCGTCCGATGGTAAGTGGATGCTGTGGCCCATAGACATCTATATTTATCCTCGATTAAGAATAAAAACGCAGATGCGTTGTCACCCCTGAGGACTAAGATGGAATGCTTCGTTTCCAGTAAAAAAGGGTCTCCGGATCTCTACACTCACCATACGAAACACAGCAGTATTAAGCTGCTGTTTTACGCTGATATTCTGTGAGAGCGTGGCCCTTCCCCGGTCGAGCCGACCCATTCGTGCTACAACCATAATATAGCTGCAGCGTGACTCTACCACGTAAAAAAGTGGTGTAAAAATATCCACTTCCCCATATCGTCCCGTGGATGTCGTAAGAGACCACATAGGGAAGCTGAAACAGTATATGGCAGCAGCATCTGTCCGATAATAAGACAAAATTATAAAAAACTACGGTTGCCAATCCACAAGCCAAGCGTGGTGACTTCGATAAAGTCCAACCTATAAGGCACTCTATTCAGCAGCCTTCGAGGAGTCAGGCGTGGAGGCCAACGTTCAGCAGTGGACCAGTGGACTTCATAGGCTGTAATAGATGGATGCATTGATGGAATTAAACGATTAAGATTGGAAATATTACACGATTTAATTTTTCCCATAAGTGGAATTATTTGTGCGTAAAGCCTTTCATCGTGTTCGACATGTTTTGCTAGTACGTACCATCCATCCCGATACCATCCACACCATCTGGACGCTTGGCGGTCCGCCACTGTACGTTTCGGAGTTTTCTTCCGCGTACGACCTCTCTGTGGAATAGTTTACCATCAGTGATTTTTCCCGACCGATACGACTTAGGCACCTTCAAGAAAAGAGCTTATTCCTTTCTAAAAGGCCTGCAACGCACCTGCAATTCCCTTGGTGTTGCAGTTGTTCATGGGTGACGGTAGTCACTAAACATCAGGTGAGCCGTATGCTGGTTTGCCCCCTCTCCTATATAAAAAAGTGATAAGTTCAGATGCATCTAAGGATTAAAAATCAGTGTTTTAAAAAGTGAAAAATTATCTTCGTTTATCACTAGGTAGCAAAAAGGATCAATTGCGTTTTGTGTTATCATTATTCACTAATTACATAATTTAAGAAGGGGTCATTGTAAACCACGCCTGCGGACAAACATCGGGCTTTTTCATTTACTGCTGGCATCATGCGTTTACAACTATTAAAATAATAATTATAGATAATTAAACTACTCTCGTGCAAATTTAAATATTCGGTTATTATAGTGCGTATTATGCAATAATCGACCCTATTTACAAGTTCAAATGACGATAGGGTAAAGAGCTTCTATCAGACAACGGCAGCGGCAAGTTTGCAGTGGACTATATCAACGCAATTCTACGCGAAGAAGTAGCAGTTGTGATCGAATCGCGGTGGGAGGTGGTCATATACTTCTGACCAAGCAAAAGACGCAACCGTTTCTTTTGTGTTGTGATTTGCTTTAAGGATTGTGTGAAATGAAGTGGTTGATTTTAAGCAGTTTTCTAGTATGTTGGGCGAGGTTCGGGGTTCGATGCGGTGAGTGAATTATACACGGTATTCGATTAATGGTTTTACTTAGGACTTATTTACCGTTACTGTGCAGAATTGCAAATAAGCAGATGATAACATCTGACTTTTTATGAAACTTTTAACAGGATTTGTCGTTAATTTATGCGCTATGTGATTAGTTTTATAAAATTGTTTTTGTCGATACCTATAATCCTAATGACATCTCGATTTTGTCATTTATTAGCGATTTTGTGGGATTTAGTTGGTTCATATACATCGAACAAGTATTTGTATGGCCTTCAAATAATTGTATCGGATTTAGATGTTTGTCCTTGTGAAATTTATGTATGTGAACTGTTCCCACGATATAACAGAAAAATCTAGCGTGGAGGTAACGGTTAAAAAAATAAAGGTGGAAATGAAACTAGGACAGTTAAGGGTTCAAATCTGCTGCATAATAGTTAAACAATCGAAATGTTCCTATATGACTCACGGGACAGTGAAATGATTATTATTGTTAAGTACTAGTATTATTTAAAAATAAGTCATATGAACAGAATATCTTTTTCTTTAGTTAGCATTATCTACTAAATGCTGATCATATGGCGGATTCCGCGATTTATTTCTGAGCACTGGTCATCCTTTGACGTTAATGTGCTTTCCAAATTGAAATTTGTCGGCCTAAGGCTTTAAAAAAATGCTTTTTTTTTAGATCTTTGTAAAGTTTATTTAAGGTACCAATTTTCATAAACTGTATGAAGGCATTCTGCTGTTTCCACGTTTATAGAGCATTTGTCTGCGTCCATAATCTTAGTAAATTTATTCTAAGATATAATGATGTGTCCTTTAATTTTAATACATATGTATTAAAATTAAAGGGCACATCATTATAATAAAAAAAAAATAAAAAATATAATTAAGTATAGTAATATAATAAAAAATATAATTAATAAAATTAAAAAAAATTAAAAATTCATTCGGTGACGAACGTAGGGTGTCTATGATATCCACTATAATTTGAAAAGAAAGCGTAAATGATATATCACAACCCTGTGAGGTCAAAATCAACTTGCATTTTTTATTTATTATTATTTATTTATTTCCACCAACCATTTACATTAAAGAGAGCAACAAAGAATATGTGCCTAAAACAATCCTAATGATACGTAAAAAACTTGTGCCTAAACTAGGTAATACCTGTATTTTAGGTCATTGGGCCTTCGCATCTAGATCTCCGTGGACAAAGTAGATATATGTAGCTACGAAAAAAGACTAATATACAATAATGTATATATAAGAGTAAATGGGGCAAAGGCACACAAGTGTCAGTATCTACCTTAACGTATGGTAGAGATAGTTGGGTGTGCAGAAGAACTACAAGGATCGACAAATGCTGTAGAAATGCGTTTATTAAGGAGTATGTTAGAGCTGAATCTGAATGACAGGCTGAGAAATTGTGTGATAAGAGAAAAGGGTAGTTTTGTAGTAGTTATATATATATATATATATATATATATATATATATATATATATATATATATATATATATAAACTATCCTATCTCACAAGTTGGGCCAAACTATACACGGTGTGCAAATTTGATTAAAAATCGGTTAAGTAGTTTAGGAGTCTATCGCGGACAAACAACGTGACACGTAATTTATATATATAAAGATATATTTCTTTTTTAACTAGTATGAGCTTGAATAATATTTCACCTAATGGAAAGTGGTATAGCTAATTTTGTATTTAGATTTTAGATGAATATTTTTGTTTTATTTTCCAAATTTATTTATATGATCCATAGCTGAGAAATAAAAATTTGGTACTGTTAATTTATTTTAAGAGACTTTTCCGTAGTAACCAACTTTAACAATATTGTCCATAACGTTTGACGAAGCAAGCTATCAAATGTCATCTACAAATCAACAGAATGATATATGAGACTGACCTTTCCTGTATCTAACAAATTAAAAAAAATCACAGATTTTTTTTATAGAATATGGGTGAAATATGGTTCTTTTTGAAGAAAAACTGCAAAGTTTTAAAAACTGTCGTAGTGACAAGTTTGTTGCTATTCAACAGGTTACCTTTCAGAGAGTTTGCCCAAGAATTACTGACATTGATTCCAACATTCTAGTTCCAACACTACAGACGGATGAAGTGTATTCGTAAATGGTTGTGACACGGACTCGTACATAGCGGTATACTTGTTCATTTTTAATGCGCACAGCCAGGGAATAGAATTTATTACTGGTGTCAGCTTTTCCGTACCGTTATAATTTGGAATCTTTTAATATCGTACCGGAAAGACATATATTAATTAAATATACATAAAAGATTAGGACTTCTTGAAGCTTCTTCCTTAAACAACACTAAATTTACGGATTTTACATATTATTTAATTATAAAATCTACATATATATATATATATATATATATATATATATATATATATATATATATATATATTACAAAATTATTATACAGGTGAACTAAATACATCAGGCATTCTCTACTTATCAAATTTTAGTGTAGGAAAGGTAAAAATAAGTTTCTTTTTAATTCTCGACGTTTCGGGCGCTTTATAGTAAGAATGGTGAGGGCTAGGCGTTTGACGTTCTGATGTCCTAGTTAACCCCGGCTAACGCCAGCTTATGAATATTTAGTCCGATATACGCAGAACGAGTTTGCAGTAACTTGAAAAGTTACAATGATATTTTTGGTTTTGAATTTATATTTAATTACTAGCCGTTACCCGCAGCTTCGCCCGCATGGTCACTGGGAAATGAACTAGCCATTGCTTTTTGAATTGAAAGAAAACTGAGTTTTATAGATTTGTCAGAGATGCAGCCATTAAAAGGAAACTGAGCAAAATTGATTCGTCAGCCTAATTAAATGTTTTGAATAGCAGCGTCTAGGAAAGCATGAAAATAGTCTGTTTATTCCAAATGGAAATGGGATATTTTTTAATTAAAGGAAACTGAGCATAATTATTCGTCAAAGATGTAGGCTTTTGAAAAGAAACTGAGCTAAATTGACTCGTCAGAGATGCAGTTTCCTGAATTGGAAGGAAACTGAGCCAAATAAAAGATCCGTCAGAGATGCAGCCTTTTGAGTTGAAAGGAAACTGAGCTTAATAGGTCCGTCAGAGGTGCAGCATTTGGAATTGAAAAGAAACTGAGCTAAGTAGGAAATTTTGAATTGAAAGGGAAGATCTGTGGGAATTCTGATTAATTGATTGTGGGAATATTGAAAAAAAAAACTAACAACACTATTTTAAGATGCTACTGTACACAATGTTATATATTTTTCCATTCGGGGAAAGAATGTGGAGATTCTGGGCATTTGACACACGCGAACATGCTACATACAGCTGACCGTGAGAGAAGCACGGTTTTTCTAAGTTGACCCCCGTTACCTGTAACGTTTGCCCTTGCGCTTTATTAATTGTCATTGCAAAACTGAGCTTAATAGGGAACTGCAACCTTTTGAATTGAAAAGGAAGATCTGTGGGAATTATAGGGATCCGTGGTATAATAACATCTTCACCTTTTCCTACGCCTGTCAAAATTGTAGCACCGATTATGTTCCGTCCAAGATGTGTCACACGCAGCCTTGTCCCGTTAAATAACCGATGAGCATCTAAATTTCGCATTAGCATGACTGGGACGCCTAATTTTAATTGAAGCTTATGTGAGGGCACACCTGACAACTCTAGAGAATTTAGAAACTCTACGGGATATGAAGTGCTCTGTTCTGTGTCCATAACTGCGTCTACTGACAAATACTCTGTTATTTCTCCTGCTACTTCGCTTAATATATCCGAATTTATTTTGTTAACGCTCTCTTTTTTGGTGCAAGAATCGCCCTTTCACATAACCATTTGTCTTCATGCATGTTGTTCGTTAAATCTGAATAAACGCTCGCAATTAATTCGGAATGACTCTGTACTAAATTACAAAAATCTCTCGTCAATTTAACGCAGCCCTCAGCATCTGTTACCAACAACCCATCGCCAATTTTTAAAAGTGTGTCAGCATAGTTTCCAGCATTGATATCATTATACAAATGCACTCTCATATTCCTAGTTAAACTGAATTTTGTCACCTTGTTCCATAAAATAGACGACTTGAAGCATGCTTTAATTTCATCTGCAGGTGCGCCCTTTTGAATGACAGGTAAAGTTTGGCGAAAGTCACCACGACCATTCCTCCCGTTACATCGGTATTGCTGCGCAAATCCTGGAGCGTTCGATTTAGTGCTTCTACAGCTATTTTATGCGACATTGTACTTTCGTCCCACACTAAAAGTTTGCATTGTCGTAGCATTATACCTCGTGCACTATTTTTGCTAAAGTTGCTGATCGGTGATTCTTTCTGGGCTAGAGAGTCTTTTAGAGGGAGTTTTAAAACAGAATGTGCAGTGCGGCCCACGCTTAGCAGCGTGGCGGCTATACCAGAGGAAGCTACGGCCACAGCAATGTTTTTATCTTTCCGTACTTGCGCTAATAATAAATTTAACAAAAATGTCTTCCCAGTTCCTACAGGGGCATCTAAAAAGAAAAGTGCACCATTTCCAGATTTAATTTGTCCTAATACTTTGTCAAAAACTGGTTTTTGTTCGGGAAGCAAGCTAAAAAGCTGTTATATCGTAGTTTGTTTCACGTATAATTTCATCACTTAGTTCATTTTCGGTTGTTCGCTGAGGGCTTATCATTCCAAAGTCGCTTAATTTTTTGCCTACCATTGCCATTACTTTATCTTCAATTTTTCCAAGTGCCTAAATAAATGTGTTCATTGTATGTCATGTTCGCGTGTGTCTGCTGTAACCTTCGCAAAATATCTTCCGCCATGTACTCTTTATATTTGTCCCACAATTCATGTGCATTAGATAGCCCGCAAGATGATATGAGAGTTGCATAAAGATCCCTAATTTTGGCTAGTGACTGGCACTGCACAGTTTCCTCCATGGTTTCATCTCAGTGATTATCGTTTTCTAAAAGATGCAGAGCTTCACATGCTTCT